CCGAGCTCTCCCGGTGCTCCGGTGGTCGGACAGTGCTCCGGTGTTCCACCGGTGCTCCACAGCCGTGACGCGGTGCTCGGTGTTATCTGTTTCACGCTCGGCGGAGCACCGTACAAAGAAGTGACGACTGCGATAGCGGACCCACCGACTCACGGCACTCGACGCGCTGCCGGCTCGCCTCCAGCGTCTCCCATCTATTATTTACGCCCGTACCAGCTCGCTGCGGCGCGCCGCTCCGCCGCCGGACGCCATCAGACCCGTCGGCGGCGTCGGCTGTCCCTCCGGCGAGGCGGGCGGTACCATCCCCCGACCGTCGCTCGCTCGTGATGAGCCGCCGCCGCCGACTGACGGGTCAGGCGAGCTGTTCCAACGACCGTGCCCAAGACGTGCACGGGACGTGCTGATGACGTGCCGAAGACGTTCCAGGGACGTGTGGGAGACGTGCCTGGAACGTGCTGGGACGTGATGAGCACGTGCCGACGATACGCCAGGTTGAGATGGGAAATGAAAGCTTTGCTGTCTTGGTCTGAGCTTTGGCTATATTGGGGTTGTGTTAAAACCGTGCCGATCTTATGTTTCAGGTGTAATGTTGCCTTGCCGACATCTTGACAAGGTACTGATAACGTGCTGCAGTGTCGCTGACGCTGCACTGATGCTGCGCTGGAAGGTGCTCTACTGATGCCTGCTAGCGTCGTACTGGTACCTTGCTGGTGCCATGCTGGTGCATGGCTTGTTCCTTACTGAGCGGCGGCAAGACGGCCCAGGCGGCGCGTCTGTCATGTCCGCCGCGCTCGCCACGGGCGCCAGGAGAGCGGCTGCCGATAATTTGCTGCCCGTTTACGGCTACCACCATCGACCGGCACGCTCTCGGTTGTCCGACCGAGAGCACCCCTCGGCCCCGGGAGAGAGAGAAAGAGAGAGAGAGAGAGAGAGAGAGAGAGAGAGAGAGAGAGAGAGAGAGAGAGAGAGAGAGAGAGAGAGAGAGAGAGAGAGAGAGAGAAAGAGAAAGAGAGAGATAGAGGGAGAGGGAGAAAGGGGGAGAGGAAGAGAGGGGGAGAGAGAGACAGGGAAGGAGAAAGAGAGGGAGAGAGAGAGAGTGGAGGAGGAAAGAGGGAAACAGATATAGAGAGGGAGAGACGGGAGAGAACACACAGAGAGAGAGAGGGGGAGAGAGAGAGAGAGAGGGGGAGAGAGAGAGAGAGAGAGAGAGAGAGAGAGAGAGAGAGAGAGAGAGAGAGAGAGAGAGAGAGAGAGAGAGAGAGAGAGAGAGAGAGAGAGAGAGAGAGAGAGAGAGAGAGAGAGAGAGAGAGAGAGAGAGAGACGTAACGACTCACGTCGGCCGTTGTGGTTGGTGGTGTGCCCCTAAAATGCGATCGTGTTGACAAGCGAGCCAGGTTCGTGCGCTGTAAGAGCGATGAAGTAATTTTACATAGGGGAAGGTGGGGTAAGACGGACCAGCTAAGGTTTGACGCCGCATATCTTGCTACACTGCTCTCGTAATTCATATTATTTATAGTCTTCGGAATGCTCAATCCTTCCTCTGTTGATATGTGTAAAGGCTAAATTTCAAATTAAAGACATCTAGGTGGTGGATGCTCTTAAAGAGGGACATGTCAAAAACTCAGACAAGAAAAAACGTGGGGTAAGACGGACCACCCAGCAGTGCCTGCTATCCGTTCATGTGTGTTACACTTCTGCTCTGTACTCTTGTAAGAAAAAGTAGCCAGAATGGTAAAATAACAAAATGAGCCATTATTCTGTACTCATGTGTGATGGAAGTGCAGCTAAAAGCTGGGAACATGTGTGTTGATTGTCGTTTGGCATGAATGCATGCTAACTGAGCACTTGCATGCATGGCTCACATGCAATAAAGACTCCTTCCTGAAAAATTAGCTTCCTTAAACTTGTGTCAATGTTTTGGAAAAGAACTTTACATATGCAGGGTACAATGGACCACCACAGGGTAAGATGGACCACAGTGGTCCGTCTTGCCCCAAATCTAAATTCTGTCATTATCATGACGTATATGTCAAATAGCCCAACATTGCAAAACCTTGCCTTTCCTAAGTGTGACTATAACTAAGTTTATAACTTTGTTCTTCACAGTTAAGTGCAAAATAGAAACTAATCATGCAAGAAAGGCGCTGTAATTGAATCACCCGTCGACCTCTTATATTAGATCGGTTTGACGAAAAACAACATTTTTCTCAATAACTCAAAAGCTATGCATCCTAGCAGCATGAGCTCAAGGTGGCCATTGTTACGAAGGAAAACAAACATAAGTGAGTGCATAAAGCAGTAGATACCAGCAGCGGTTCAGCCGGGAGGGCTGGTGGTCCGTCTTGCCCCGCTGGGCCGTCTTACCCCACCTTCCCCGCACATTCTGTTTTGGTTGTGTGTATGATGCAAAACTGGCGTTATTTGTTATCACTTACAGAGTAAGTCCTGGTTCAAAGTTTGCATGCTGTACGTCTAGGCCATCCCAGGTTCATTGCAGCTGTACTTTCCTATAGATCGAGGAGCTCAAAAGTCCAACAGCTCCTACGGGATTGGCCAACGCCGTATAGCGGAACATTTGAGTTCGGTAACTTTTTAACAACCTTGATAGCCTTGGTTTTAATTAATTTCGGCAAGGCACAATAATGGCCTGCCTAAAAATTAAGTTGGACCATCAATCAGCCTGCCCGATTAGTCGTTGTGTTCCTCGACACACTCAAGAAATTAATGACCACGGAAACTTAATAAGGTTATCTCAGGCGTGCCCTGGCACCATAAATAACGGAATTCTTCTCATTGGCCAATGTTCGAACACAGGACCATTTGAAAAGTAAGCGCCTGGGTGTGTATAGTCGTTAACTTTTGTCATGTCCGCACCTCTAATAAGACGGTCAGTCGCTGGCGACACTACTTTATTGAATCAGTCCGGTGAACATGGTGTACCTCACTTCACTATTCCAAGAGAAGCACACGACTCGCTTGGTTTTGAGGTTGCTGTCGTCATTTGGTGTGAAACGTGCCCGAAATTGGATTGCTTAGTGGCGATTACGGACAAAACGCCTGTATTTTAGGCTGTCACTGAGTATTTCCGATCAGTTTGCGACGCCGGAAAAAAGAAACTGTGACGTGTGGATGGGCTCTGTAGGCTGTGACCATGCGGTTAACCTAGCTCAGCCTTTACCAAAAGAACGCCCTGGATCAGCGACCAGCACACCAAGCATCTGATGAAACTTCATGTCTCCCGGAGCTCGTAGCTGTTTTGATCCCAGGCTGAAAATAGCCCAAACGGACTAGTCTACCAATCCTCCCCTACAAAATGGAAGGAAAGGAAACGAGGCAAGAACGAAGCTTAAACGATCTGGTTGAGCGCTGAACTTTACAGGTCAAAATCGGATAGGTAGTGATGTGGAAAAGTTAAAAATGAAAACTTCATTATCTATTGTATGATGTTGCGTAAAAACCGACTCTCAAAAGATCTCAGTGCAACGACTTGCGAAAGTCCGGCCCAAAATATATGATCCTGAGGTAGAGCTCCATGAATGGGACCCTGAAAGAAGGAATCGGCAGACGCAGACACCTGGGCGAGCGAGGAGGGGAAGTCGAGACCGTGTTTCCGCCAAAAGAGAAAACAACCAAGGTAGGTGGTAGGTAACTACACCTGCGCTATCTACATCAGCTGCCCCGCATGACACTAATGGGACCGTATTAGAGCCGGCGACAATCACGGAACATTAGTGTCGGGGCAGACTGCGGCGGGGCAGACTGCGGCGACCCCTAGGAAGAACAACTAGGGAGAACAACATTCGACAGATGGCAGCGCTAGACGAGATAATCAGGCAATACTTTAATATTAATGGGAAAGAAATCATGCCAATGTTTGCCCTCACCAAGCATGTTACCACGACAATGGAAGAATGTAGTGTAGTACCCCTCCCCGGGCCCGCCGCGGGCTGGTAGCGGCGGACGGAGCCGGTCCGACCTTTGGCCGGCCGGGTCAGGTAACCGGGACGGCCGCGCCGCGGCGCCGCGCCCGGGCCGGCCGGGAGACGGAGTCGGGTGCCCGCCGGCGAGCCGTCGGCAAGGGCGCGGGGCACATTAGTCGAGTTGAATGTTCACTGTTCAGTCTTGAGTGCGAGTGATGTGTGAATCGATATGTGAGCAGCAAAATCCAACAAGAAAACAAATCCGTGAAAGAAAGGCAACGCTGGCAAACATCACCACCATAGTCTTCCTACGCCGAACGAGTTCCACACCAACGTGCATCTGCGAGAGTAAAACTAGGATCCTAACAGACCCACCCACCGCCCCACCGTCACCCCGTTCCTTCCCAAGTCTCCTTCCCCTCCGCTCGGGGCGTCTTTCAGCTACGCAAGAAGGAATCGGCAGACGCAGACACCTGGGCGAGCGAGGAGGGGAAGTCGAGACCGTGTTTCCGCCAAAAGAGAAAACAACCAAGGTAGGTGGTAGGTAACTACACCTGCGCTATCTACATCAGCTGCCCCGCATGACACTAATTGTCTAAGCTTACAGATCGCCCTTAGCTCCAAGATTAGGTGGTTTTTTTTTTTGTTCGCCAGGACCAGCAACTGCCGCCTACAATGTTATTTTTTCTCGGTTGTTACCGATGAAACGGTACATAAACCCTGTACCACTATCAACAACACCAACATATCAAACCACCTGGCAGCACACTGTCTGCCCAAAGTCACGGACCATCAGCTCGACAGCCCCATAGACGTTGCCAGACTGCTGGGGGCGGCAGGCGAGGCCCGAACATCGAGCCCCGGCTCCGGCCGGCCGGCCGTCCCTCGCGCGAAGCTGGCCGTAATGAATTCCGCAATTAATTCAGCAAAGTGAACCGAATATCTCGGCAGATAGTTGGCCGGGTCGCGGCCGGCCGGCGGAGCGGCCGCGCGGAGGCACGACCCAGTGAGATTACCGTCCCCGACCCCACCCGCTCCCCTGCTAGCTACTAGCGACTACACGTGCGCGTATGGACTCACCTCCTCAAACTTCTGACAGACCAACGTGAACGCCTTGAAGATGGCGTCCGTGGCGCCGGTGACGGTGACAATTCGCTCCGGACAAGCCCCATCGGAGATGTTGATTTTGGCACCGCTCTGCAAACGGAGGGGCGTGGGTAAGCGTCGATCGTGAGGTGTTCGGTCGTGCCGTGGAAAGGCGGCATGACCCCGTGGACAGCGACCCGCGGTGATGGACCCGCTTGTCAGGCGCCCAACAAACACACAGTGCCGGGCTGAGCACGAACTGTACGCCCTCGATCACCTGCCAAGACCAGTACCACAGACCTCAGCACCAGCGGTCGGCCGTTCAGCGGAGACAGTGCTTACACGTCAGGGAAGTTTGTATACGGGCTGCTTAGACGGACGAACAGGCAGCAGCAGCCAACAAACAATGAGAACATAATAATGGCAATAATAGAAGGGAAATGTTTTGTTTGTGTGTTAATGAGCATCAATGCTGAAATCCAATAAGAATAAGCAAAAATAAGAGTGCTTCTTTTTCGCCGAGAGACACTAAAATGTTGACGGATAATCTGCTTCTTTCCCAGTTCTGTCAGACTTGCCTTGATGCCATTGCACGCTATACATAGTGCATCATTTTGCGCAGGAGTAAGTGAATTCTATGTAGGTCCTCTCACATGAAGCGCATGTTAAAGATGTATTGCATAATTTTACAGTGCAACACTGCAAACAGATGAAACAAGGACACCATATCCAAATGTTTGGAATGCCATGTCATCATCGAAGGCTAAATCGGCCTGTGTTCACCACGGCAAGTCAATCAAGCATGCATCAATCATTGACAGACACAAATGAGGTAAGCCGCCAGCTGGACTTTTCCGTCAGCTCAGCTGTCGACGCCTGACGTAGAACATGAGTCGATCACTCGTGACGTCGTCACTCAAACACGTCACTCAAATACACCGCGGTCTGCTTCAATGTCCGGAGACATAAGCGGTTTGCTGTGGTGTTTTGCTTTTACCTTGCATTTTCTATATTGCAGATAAAATAACGCACTTTTGAATTGATATTCCATGAGCACTTTACTGTTCATGAAAGGTTCTATCAAAAATCTACCACCCAAAAACAAAAACTATTATCTCCTAAGCATTCAACAACCAGCTCAACTACTGAGTACAACTGTGCTAACACAGTTTCGGTCACGTTTAGTAAGACAAATTCTGACAGGAAAAAAGTGCGCTGAACTCTGATATAGGTCAGGTGAGTTAGCTCAGACCAGGTCACGTTAGGCCAGTTCAGCTCAGGGCAGGTAAAGACTGATCAGCTCAGGTCAGGTCAGGTCAGGTCAGCTCAGGTCAGCTCAGTTCAGCTCAGGTCAGGTCAGCTCAGGTCAGGTCAGCTCAGGTCAGGTCAGCCTGCTCGGCAGGTCGGTTCTCGGACACGGCCGACCGCGCTGACGGTCGAACGCCGCCCGGGGTGGCGGGGCCGGCCCTCTATTTCTGTTGGCACCGGCGCCGCGCCGCCGCTGTGACCGAGCCACAATAAATCGGCGTGTCACCTGTCTGCAGGCGCGGCGACCACGCCGCATCGCGCCGCTTCCGCCGCGCGCCGCGCCGCGCCTGTCGCCGCCGCGCCATCCAGATACAATCGGGTTGGCTCACACCGCCGTCGTGGCCAGGCATCATTACGGAAAGATGGGGTGCGACCCAAACCCCCAGCCCACGCCCGCAGCAGCACAGGTATTGTGCAACTGTACTGGTACTGATTTGAAACTTTTCCTTGTGTTCAATGACAAGCTACTGAACGAAAATTAAATTACATTTCATTTATTGAATCATACTTATAGCTTAGTGAGTTACTAATCAAAACACTCAAAAAGTGCAATAGAAACTTCGCGTCATCATAGCTGAAGCTTTCGATAAGGCCGCAGCTTTTAAGCTGTTGCCGAGAAACTTGGGCAAAGACTGATTGCTTTCCTCTCTTCAGTGCTTAATATTTAAAAAAAAAACTGCAGCTGTACGTACGACGATATCTGTTAAAATGTGATGCGGCTCTTAAACGGTACTCTGACTCTGAAACATTCTCTTAGCACTCAACATCTCACTCTAACAAAGTCCACAACTACCGACGATCTCTGTTTCAAACTGGACATTGGAGCACAATGAGAATGGTGCTGTATCCCATCGCGGCTAATAGAGTATGCCGGGGTGAGTCGCACCGGGGCAGCCCAATCTCGTTCTTTACCGTATCAGCTGACATAGGTGTACGATGAACCACGTGACCCGACCAGCCCCGGAGCGTGTTTTACATCATTACCGCCAATCGTTTGGGGCAGGTGCTGACGTCATGGCCAAACATGACGTCATCACGTCTCATCGACGCCGGTAGACTTGATAAACAGGGCTCATTAGTCAAAAGAGCGATATGTTGCTATGCCTCTGTTGTCATGACAACATTTCACATTGGGCTTAGAATTGACTCACGTGCGAAATCGGTGACGCTGAAAGATAACTTTAAATCAGGATCGCAACTGACAGAATTGCAACAACAGGATTCAGGCACGTACCCAGGATTTCGCCCAGGAGGGGGCCACCTGCTTCCGAAGGGGCCCTTAGGTCACCCGGGGGCCCCAGGCCGCCCAGGTGACCAGGGGCCCCCTAGGCGACCAGGGGCCCAGGAAACCGGGGGCCCTCGGATGACTGCAGGGGCCCATCGGGTCATCAGGGGCCCCTCGGGTAACCAGGGGCACATAAATGAAACTTTGATATGATTATTTCTTCCTAGTAAAAGACGTTTTATCCAGTGTTTGAAAAAAATATACCGGGGTCTGAGGGGCCCCCTGAGCGCCTTCGGCGCTCAGGAGGGGGCCATGGCCCCCGTGGCCCCCCTTGGGTACGTCACTGACAGGATTGCAATACATCTGTTTTCGTGTCTGGCACACTGGCAATAGCTTTGAGTGTAGCATACCTTCCTGGTAATTGTTTTTGCTGCACTGAGCTCATATTACATCGGTGTGCGTTTGACACAAGAAAGGCATTTCAATTCCCTAGGTGAGTATCACTTCTTGTTTCTGCATAAATACCCCGCTACACATGCTTTGATTTGCAAAATTACATATTTTCCTTACTGAGTGAGCGTGTTGGTATGTAGAAAATTAAACATATTAGAAATGAACACAATAAATATAATTAGCTTTGACACTTACCGAATACCAAACTATGCAAATCATTGCACAGCTTCGTCTATTGCAATGTCGAGGCTTTCTATATGTCCTTACATCTATCCCAGTCTCATTGAACTGAAATGGCTCATTTATTTTCAACATAGAAACTACCTAGAGAATCCCAGACAACATTAGGGCGAGTGGAGGACACCGAACGCGGCCAAGATTGATGCGACTGTCTGCTCTGCGGGCGGAGCTGTATGTTGGGAGTGGGTGCCGGGTGCCGGCCCACGCGGACGGGTGGTCCGGCCCGCGGCCGGCTCTGGTCAGCCAGAAGGATGACCGCCGTCTGGACAGCCGGAGAAAAACCGATCTCAGATGGTAGACGGACGGATAGGCGGCGCCGCGGCGGAACAAAGCCCATGTCTGACGGCGCGATACCCATGTATAACAGGAGAAGCTCGTGTTGAAACTGGGTATAAAGCTTCGATTTCGCTAGCAGTCTCTTGTGGATGTAGACAGAACTTGAGAAACTTTGATCCTTAGTTATCCATGAGATTCGTTGCATTGAAAAATGACGATTTTATTTGGCATGGTACGTTTATAGCTTATAGAAACAACATATGACTCGTCATACGCATTCAAATAAACGATTATAAGTCTCACTTTGGAAAATCAATATAACTAGATTTTAGTGCGAGCGAAGCAGTGTCAATGCCAGCTCATTCTTCACTCCCAGTTAACCCTCGCCGGCCGAGGGGGGGGGGGGCGGGTGCCCCCCCCCCCAGGGGGTTTTTCGCGATAGCTCCGAACACGCTGGCGATAGAGAGCTGAAACTTGGCATACCTGACCTTTGATCCAAGCCGCATCTTTTGACACCAACCGCATTTTTGGGTCAGGTCAGGTCACTGACCTATGTCGTCATAAGTGAACCTCTGCACGGTCTTCAGATGTCGCAACTTCGCAACGCCCTCACTGCCAGAGGAGATGTCACAGGGAAATGAAACTTGCAGGATCTAGTATCCATTATGAGTCTCACAACTTGTATATCTCGGATTTTTCCTAAAGGTCATATGAGGTCAGGTCATTTTCGTGACCTCACCATTATAAGTCAATGGGGAAAAATGAAAACTGCTATTCTGGCGCCGGGAACGATCTCCAACTATCTCAAGCACACAGAATCGTGATTTGATGCACTCCTTGCAAGGTTAGATGCGTCATTTTTGCAATGTTGACCTTGCGTGACGTCATTTATGACGTCATCAAGGTCATATTAGTTTTTCGTCAATAACTCTTGATCAAATTGAGCTAGCGAGTCGAGAAAGCCACCAATGGACTCAGGAAGACCTGCCGAATCGAATGATATGCGACATGACCTCTTTCGACCAACTTCGTGACCTGGGGGTGCTGACCTGACCTTGACCTGAGGTCAACACCCCAAGTTGACCTGACCCGGACAAAAAGTATATCATTCGACGCGCCTGAGCGAGGCGAACACGATGCTGCCAAAATCGCGGCTCTGCGGCCGTTTTTTGCGAAGTTATTCACCAAAACTGAACCGTACCCTGGGGCACTTGACCTGACCTCAGGGGTCACCGGTTGACCTAGGACCTTAAAATCGGGTACCAATCTCTGCGTCTCGTAACGGCGCACACGCTCGTTTTTTTCCGCGACGCGCTAGCTCCACCAGGGGCGAAACGGCGAGGGGGGGGTCGTACCCGCCCCCCCCCCTCGGCCGGCGCGTATGTAGAAAACCAATAGGTCCGGCGAGGGTTAACCTCGCTAGGTTCTAGCGATAGCTCACAAAACGCCGGCTCTCAGCCCACGAGCTGTGCGGCGCAGTCTATCTCTTCAGGCACGCTCGGCGGGCTAGCCTACCTCTCCAGGCAGCGCCGGCGCTGGAGCCCAGCGCGGCGCGGCACGGCGTTGCCGGCCGCCCGCTGGCACCCGCTGTCCGTTGGTCTGTCGCGCC